TTGAATGAACGTCATGAGCTGGCCGAGATGAGTAGGCGTTTGCTTGGGTTAACCATGAATAATCACAATCAACGAAGACAACCACAATTATAGATACTGAAACAAATTCAACAATCTACAAAACCAACTTCAGCACTCAGACCTCAAACAAACTGTATGTAGCAACAGTTTGAGAATACGTGCAAACCGGCATTTTTCAGTAGGTTTCAGTGATTTTTCGATGATGCGAAGTTCAGACACGTTCAGCTCATAACTTCGCGGACTGAAAACAATTTGCATCCCCTCTAACAAAAATCCATGAATTATTGAAAACAAAGCGAACATCAAACTTCAAGAATGCATCGCACGACCGAATTTTCAAATGCCTCTGATGCAAATCATCATAGCAACAAGGAAGATCAGTGGAACAAAAGATTACTCAATTAGACATTCGTAATACGACGGCTTTCCGAGGNAGCAACAAGGAAGATCAGTGGAACAAAAGATTACTCAATTAGACATTCGTAATACGACGGCTTTCCGAGGTTCGAATTAGATTGTTTTTGGGTGAATTGGCGATTTTATTCAGAGCTAATACAGTTCTTGCTGTCTGCAGTAGATTACGACGTTCCACAATATCGCTGCATAATGATAATGACATCTGAAATCGAATCAATCGGGAATCGCATTGTATGAATCAAGTATTTCGACTTGATCACAAGGACCTGTTGTCCTGATGAAACTAGGGAAGTAACCAGCCCATAAGAGGTATGTGTATATGTGCGTATGTGTGCTGGAATGAAGTGAAAATAGGTGATAGATGCCTGCATTAATGAACAATCAATGAAGTGGAGTAGCCAATTCTAAAATTTTATTCACTGAATAACCGCAAAAGGGATGCAGTGTCGATATTTACAATTCTGTCATCTGCATCACTCAAATGTTTCCCAACATGACAATTATGAACAGCAATTAATCCAAATGAATTGTTGGATCGTAATCGAAGGTCCATCCCCACCAGAAAATATTCCAAGAAACCTTCTCGAAAAACCTAAGAAACCCACTTCAGAAACAATTACGAATATCATTTTCAGTGAAAATCGGAGATGCTTACTGGCATTCGGATATTCAGCGAGGTTGAGATTCAAAGCTGAACTTTGGGAAAAGATTATATTTCGGACAAAAAGGGCAAAAACAGTGAGTTGTTAATGAGTGAACATTTCAGTAATTTTGCAGTTCATGAAGCATGCTTTCACAACGGATTAGTTTGGCATTGCAGACGCAAATTTTTGTTAGATGTTATAAACATGATAAGTAACAACTGACGGTACGTCACAATAATAAACAAATACAGTTCGTTATTAAACAATGTAATGTTGGACAAAGGCGTGCAATAAACAATGTGATAAAATAACGTGGATGATACTGATTTTTGACCTGTAAACTTATAAAAATAATTTAGGGAAAATAATACAAACAATGAAACGCGTTTTGCTTGATGGACAATATTCAATCGTCATAGCTCATCAACTGCAATTCCTGATGTCATCGATCACTGAAGCGGACAAGATGGAAACGTTTGTAAACTGCAATGACAAAGGCTGATGCAACTGAAACGACAAGCAGTGGATGAACTCAGTGTTGGAACAGACCAGAATTAATGACGAAACAAAGAACTCGATCACCGAATGAATAAAGGAAATTTGAGAAGCTTTTGAGCTACAAGCTTACAACCCAACAGAAAATATTATTCAGTAAGATGTAATTCAGTTCAATTCTCAGGTATTATCACAAGATGACAACATAGTTGAAAAATCAATTATAGCAATAATAATAATAATAACAGCTATAAAAAGGGGGAAAAACAATAGAAATACAATAAAAGTACAAATAAATTGTTCATACAAAGTATACGGGTGAAGAATAAAATGAAGCAAACAGATGCAAAGAGAATACGGCTGGATTCGCATCCTCATCTACATGAAAATGTTACATTTCATCAGTTCATCAACATTGCACCCAAGTGAATGAACATCGCGAAGAAACCTATTCGAGATTCAGAGAATCACTACATCACTTATAATCAAACGTCAAGTGTTTCGAGGAATGGCATACAATCGTACAACATTACAAAATAAACATTTGAACAATTCACTCTCAAAAGGTGAAGAAGAACCAATCCTAAATTGTCGCCCGTTCAATAACAACACATTGATGTCTCGAAGTGCTACGAGAGGGGAAAGCCAAGCAAATATAAATTCAGATATTTCGGTTACTTTATCCACTGAAGTGAACAAAATTTAGGCGTTAGTGAAGAGATTTATATAGGAAACAGAATGACGAAGAGCAAAAAAGTGATGAAGATTGTTAGGAGTATGTTGGCGAGAAGTTTATCGCTCAAGTGGAAGCCTTCACGAAAAACCTGAAAGCGATTAACTTGAGATTAATAGCGTTAGCTTGGAGCATAGACACACAAATACGCATTCATTTTTCGAAGATCTCTCTCTCTCACGAAACAAATGCCGAGTGGTTATTCAATGAAATTGTCGCATTTGAACGGGTGCGCAACAATATCAAAACATACAAAAGGAAGTGCAAACATCCAACAATAAATTAGCACTAAAATAGCACAAATAACTTCGTTAAACATGTAACGTTAACAAACGAACAACAACACATTGCCGTTATCAGCGATAAGGTAAGTGAAAAGCACATTAACCATCTAATCATTCCAATCCCATTCCTCATCCACTAAAAACTTCACCAACAGCTGATGAT